CAATTCCAAACAGATGACACTGATAGAAAATCAGTTTTATTGACAGGAGATTCAGGCCACAGGGAAAATTATAGAAATAGATTAGATATGGTAAGTTGCTTAGAACAATAAGCAAAAGAAAAAATCTTGACAATTACTAACTTCAGGGAAAATATAAAGTTGAGGAGGAAGCACAGTGTATATGACTCAGCTAGTCAGCAGTGACTAGCATTTATAGTCACATAAAGAAATCCCCAAATCCCAACATACCCCAAATTGTGATATATCCGGATTGTGTTGGGGGGTGGTCAAGTAATATGTATATGAGATGGGAGCAGTGGAAAAGTTAATGACAGAAAATAAAGTCCTCACCTTCCAATGTGGGAAATCAGTAGATAATGCTTAAAAGTGAAAAATCAAGAAACAGTGGTATAAGAATGTTATCAGAGATGGGAAGATAAGGACCAAAAGTTGTAGCTAAAAGTTCAAGTGGTTCCTTCTGGAGATTGTTAGCCAGGGCAGGGGAGCAAGGGCCGTGCTTGGGACTGTTCTTTTTTTCACGATAAACCTTATAGAATTATTTGATACATTAAAATGCACAGTAAAAAAGTTAAAACAACAACAAAATATTTGGAGAGTAGTAAAAATAAGAGAGGCATTAGAATGAAGTGATCCCCAGAATCTAGGCATGGGTCCAAGTCTTTTAACCTCTCTGACACTCAGTTTCCTAACCTATAAAATATAAATTATAGTGTGGATCCTAACGTCCTGGATTGATTGCAAGAGATAAATACAGTAAGCTATGTGTAAAGGTTTTGTAAATCTAAAACTCTATAGAAATGTAAGGACTTGTATTTATTAAGTGTACAAGGCAAAATGCAGCATAAAAAAACTAGTTTAATAAACAGCTGGCTCTTTGGAACTTGTTTGCATCCCTCAGAAAACTCGAACCAAACACTACTGCTATGCAGAGATGTCATGGCTAATTCTTACAAAAAATAAAATGTTGCTACCTTCCACGGGGCGCTTAGCTGCTCTTGTGAATGTTTGTGGAGTTTGAAGTGAAGCTAGTGTTTCATGTTGTGTGCTGGGTACATATCTAGGGTGTCTTGTAGGACAAGATGCTCCCGAGCCATCTTGACCAGATAACCACACACTAAAAAAGGCCAAGTTTGTAGTATAATTAATAACATTGTACAAATTTCAGTTTCCTGGTTTTGATAATACTCAGTGGTTATATAAGATGTTATCATTGAGGGAAGCTGGATGAGAAGGACACAGGAATTCACTGTACTATTTTTGCAACTTCTTGTGAGTCTAAAATTAATTCAGAACAAAAAGTTAAAAAATAAAAGTATCCAGACCCAATCAATGCCCCAAATGAAAGAGAACCCAAGCTACATCTGGGATGCAAGGAGACTGTTAACCCTGAAAGAACAGAGGATGGTTCTTACAAGGAAATGAGGTATTACACCTTTCTAGGCTGCTCTGTTCTTGCCAAGGAGGAATGGTCTTTCAGCAGATCCATTTTCCTGAGCTACTTGCTCAGTATGTCTCTTCAAACTACTATTTTATTTTTGCCATTAAGAAAAATTATTAGGTACAGTCACCCACCTTGAAGAAGGAAAGGGGTATAATCATTGTGCCTACTTTCAGATAACAAAGCAGGAAGTCAGAAGTCCCTGGGTAACCTGAAAAACTCCCAACTTTGTTTTCTTTAAGGTGCCAAGACGCTTTGTGCCACTGGCACCATGGATGGGGGGGTTTCCCGCATGCTAAATAACTCATGCAAGATGCATTAGCCCAGAGCGTCGGAAGTTCCAGATTTCTTGGCAGCAAGGGGTTATGAATAATCCTCTCCACTCCCCTTGACAGTTGGAGGCCTCGCAAAGTGTTTTCTAGCCCTCACCCCTCCTGCCCTTTGATCTTGTCGAGGAGAAGTCAAGATAGCAAGTTGTTCATAGGCGACTAGCCACAGTGCCTCTCCAACTTTACGGTGCATAGGAACGGCCCAGAAAAAAAAGAGATCCTCAGGCCACACTCCCTGAAACTCCGACTCTGGGCTGAGGCAGGTTTATCTCCAATATTGACAATTGACGATACTGACTGTAGATCACACTGTGGAAATCACTGGCAGAGGGTACTTGGCTTATAAAAGATAAAGAAAATAGTTTATTATATACAAGGTTGAATTAAAAGACATATAAAAATCAAAGGGTTTGATGTGAGCATCCAATTGTTAAGAAGCGAAAATGTGATCATTGTTTATCAGTTCACATTTTAGATTTAATATTTCCTTCAGTAATTAATCATTTAAGAATGAAAATTTAGGGGGCACCTGGTTGGCTCAGTCGGTTAAGCATCTGCCTTTGGCTCAGGTTATGAGCCCAGGGTCCTGGGATTGAATCCTGCACTGGGCTCCCTGCTCAGAGGGGAGCCTGCTTCTCCCTCTCCCTCTGCCCCCCACCCCCGCTATGCTCGAATTCTCTCTCTCGCAAAAAAAAAAAAAAAGAATGAAAATTTAGAATTGTCCAGTTATTTTCACTTATGACATATGGCATCAATCTTGTTATTTCCATCAGTCTAATTGGGACAATATGAAGCAGAATTCTTAGTGGGTTTTTTCCCCCAATGGTAAGGACTTGCATCTCAATTGCACAGACTGTGAGCATTGAGTGATGTATAGAATTGTTGAATCTTTATGTTGTGCACCTGAAACTAATATGTAATACTGTATGTCAACTATACTTCAATAATAAAAGTAAATAATAAATAAATAAAGTGCACAGGCTGAATTCTTTTTAAAGTATCAACAAGCAGAGGAGCAGAAGAAATGGAATAACCAGACTTTCTTAGTTTCCCTAGGTTATGGTTATTTAGGAAAATTCATGGGGCACATTGGCTTTAAAGCTGGCAGGATGGTCTTTAAACAGGCCTTTTTTTTTTTTTATTACTCCAACCCAGTTCATATTTCCCTTCCTGAACAGCATTCCTATTTTAGCATCTCATTTACCTTCCAACTTGGCCATTTATCAGTTTTCCAAGCACAAGACTTCTGTCCTCAGCAGGACTAGGAGCTCTGGGCAGAGTGAAATCATACCACTCTCCTACATGCTTTGCATGTATCAACAGTCCTCATATATCAATAAATATTTGTTGTATGAATCCATGAATAAATGGATTGTAAATAATAATGGACAGTAGATGACTGTCAGTCAGACCGCCTTCACCAAATAAAACCACTCCGGACGGGAAGGGAGGTATACCAGAGAGAATGCTGAATTTAGAGCCACCAGAACTAGTCTCTGCTTCCTTAATCTGAAACCTTTGAACCAGTAGGATCCACAAGAAATTTAGTGCAAGCTACTAACACAAGCTACCTATGTAGTTTTAAATTTTTTAGTAGCTCTATTTAAAAAAAAAATAAAAATAAAAAAGAAACTAATATTGCACTCTATGTTAACTAGCTGGAGTTTAAACAAAAAATTGAAAGAAAAAGGTAAAAATAAAAAGGTGAAACCAATTTTTTTTTAAGATTTTATTTATTTATTTGAGAGAGAGAGAGTGAGTGCATGAGGGTGAGCAAGGGGAGGAGCAGAGGAGGAGGGGGGAGGGAGGGGAAAGAATCTTGATCAGACCCAGAGCAGAGCCGGGAGCCTGACGCAGGGCCCTGAGATCATGACCTGAGCCAAAACCAAGGGTCGGAGGCTTAACTGACTGAGCCATCTAGGCACCCTGAAAATAATTTTAATAACATATTTTATTTAACCCAATGTGTCTAAAATATTATTTCATAGGGGTGCCTGGCTGGCTCAGTTGGTGGAGCATGCAACTCTTAATCTTGGGGTTGTGGGTTTAAACCCCATGTTGGGTGTAGAGATTAATCGAAAATAAAAAATCCTGGGGCACCTGGGTGGCTCAGTCAGTTAAGCCAGTCTGAAAGCGAATGACTTGATTTCGGCTCAGGTCATGATGTTAGGGTTGTGAGATCGAGCCCCGCATTGGGCTCTGCACTGGGTATGGAGTCTGCTTAAGATTCTCTCTTTTCCTCTCCCTCTGCGTGTCCCCCGATTGTTCACTCTCTTTCTCTAAAAAAATAAAATGAAAGAAAGAAAAGAAAATATCTTAAAAATAAATAATAAAATATTATTTCATCATGTACCCAATATAAACTACTAATGAGACATTTTCCATTCTTTCTTTCATACCATTTTGAATCTGGTATGTATTTTACCCTTATAGCACATCTCAGTTTGGACCTGCCACATTTCAAGTGCTCTCACGACCTCAAACGGCTGGTGGCCGTCATAGTGGAGAACACAGGTCCAGAGGTGTGTTGGCTATGAACAAGCGTCATTTTCCTTATCTGGAAAATTGGAACACTACCTTCCTCATAGGGCTTTGGTGAAGATTCACTAAACCAATGGAATGTGAAGGTGTGGTGGCTTATAACACAAAGGCTCATTTCTTGCTTATACTACACATCCGCTGAGCAGAGTAGGGACTCTTAAAGTTTCCATTATGTTCCTTTTAACATTTGAGGGGGGCAAAGAAAGTCACATGGCCACACCTAAACTTCAGCGGGAGTGAAGAATTGCAATCCTACCATGTGTCTGAAAGGTGGAATGCAAGAAATATTTGATGAACATCGTGAAGGTCTAAATCAGAGAGTATTTCAGAAGTTATTCCAACAATTATTTTTACTAACTTCCTGAAGAACTAATTTCTGTAGTCCATACTACTGCCAGAGATCACCTTTTAAAGACAGGATTTTTCTGTCGGGGGCTAAGGACAGGGAACCACATCAGATATCTCAAGAGCAGCAAATTCTTCATCCTGTTGTGCCTTTGCAAATGCTGATCTTGCCGGGACAGTACTCATTGGTCAAGAGTCAAGTCAAATACCACTTGCTTTGTTCAGTTTTTGACAGATCTCTCCCACATGTTAGGCACCGTTTAAGGAGTGGGGTATACCACATTGAACAAACAGATCAAATCTCTATGTAGCTTAATGAATCTTACTTTCTGATTTCCTCTGCAGAATGAGGTCCTTCCCTCCCGAGCGGCACACTTCCATTAGAGCCCATTACAGGATAGCCAGTTGTTGAGATGTCCCTCTCTCTCACTTCTGTGGAGAAGGCTCAGTCTTATCTTTAGCACCAGCTTCTTGATATGCGTAGAGTTTGAAGACAAGGTTATTAAAAGGTCAGCGTCTGAAACAAAAATTCACAAGTCAACTCATAAGTTTGGTGCAAAAGCGACTCCCCTGGGAGAGGGCTGCAGTTGAGTGTCTTCTAGATCTAGGGACAATGGCCAGGATATATTATGAAATAGACACTTCAGTGCTAGAAGTGGGATTGGAAAGTAAGAACTGATTGCCACACACAAGTGAGAGAGCCATTGCATCTGACGGCCCTACAGGCATTAGAGATACAAAACTTGGAGGGGAGGACAGTTTTGTCACCTGTGAAATGGGTATAGTACCTACCTAATGGACTGTGGGGATTAAAGGAGAGAATCTTTGTAAAGGACAGCGCTTGGTGCTTATTAAGAACTCAATATATTATTATTATTGAAATAATTATTTCAGTTATTCTTAGTATTACTGAAATAACCATTTCAATAATTACGAACAATGCCTCTTATTGTTCTAGACTATTGCTTTAATTTGTATTGGTTTCAGCCACCACCTTCTGCCATATGTGTTGAGCAAGCCTGCTTTAGACACTCAGACCTCGTTCAGCGGAAGGTACTTAAGTGAGCTGGAATGGGGCTTGTCTGGGGCTCTGGCCAGCAAACTGCGAGAGAGTGATTTGGAGGATATGGACAGTCATCTTCCGAGCCACATGAGGAGACTCTGAAGAAAGGAGCCCCAAACAGGAGGCAATGAAAAAAAAAAAGGCATCCTGATGACATTGTCTGAAGTTGGACACACCACTGGACATCCAGCTTCCAGGAAACTTTTTTTGGACAAACTGGGTGCTACTTTGTACTGGAGTTTTAATCCACATAGCAGGGTCACTGCCATCAGCTGCTGTCCAGGAAACCTACCTAAAAGCCTGCCTCCCTGTCCATGGCCAGGCTCTTTCTTTATCCCTCAAAGCCCTCCTTGGGGACACAGCAATTAAACTTTCTTTTTTTCTTTTTAAGGTTTTATTTTTATTTATTTTTTGTGAGAGAGAGAGAATGAGCCAGCACACAAGCCTACAAGCAGGGGGAGGGGCAGAGGGAGAAGCAGGCTTCCCGTTGAGCGGAGAGCCCGATGCAGGGCTTGATCCCAGGACCCTGGGATCAGGACCCCAGCCAAAGGCAGACGCTTAACCGAATGAACCACCCAGGTGTCCCACAATTAAACTTTCTTATGGGGCTTTCCTGGTGCTGCCTGCACCCTCGCTCTGCACAGGGTAGACTCTCACCGCCCAACCCCTCAGAGAGCTGGGTGACGGTGGGACCCCTGAATCACCATACCTTCTGGGGTTGGGGAATGCAGGCCAGGCTCAGGGCTGTTAGGAAGCGAGAGGTGCTATGCGCATTTTGGCCCTGATCCCAGATATCAGAAGGGCCCTGTTCAAGTCCATGAGTTTACTTACATTAAATCTGTTTCCTTGGACACTGTCACGGAAGCTGTAACTTTCCTCTGTCCAGCCCTCCATGCCTTTGAAGGAGCCTTCTCTTTTCACTTGGTGTGATCATTCTGGGGCAATCAGTCCCGGCACCTCACTGCTCACCAGGTGACCCCAGGAGTGGGGATGTGCTCCAGGCAGGGTAGCCCAGCCACCAGTAATGGTGATTGTAAAGGGGGCCATCAGCCTGGATCTGCTGAGTCCACAAGACCGCATCATGTCACTAAATTATACTTTGATTGTGATGGTGGTTACCACTGAATTTGTTTGTCAAAACTCATAGAACTAAATACCAGAAAGGGTGAATTCTACTATCTGTAAATTATACCTCAAAAGGGATCAGAATACGCCACCCCAAAATATGCCACTTTGGCATAGGGATTATTTTTAGCTAAAGGCAACTGAGAATCAACAGATGCAGGAAGAGTTCTTGCCCTCCCCTTATCTGCATAAAGCAGGACATACATTTCCCTTTGTGAACGTGTCTCCCCTCCCCTCCACCAGAAAGAGAGTGACTCTTATCACTGTGGATGGGGGGTTGGCACCGAGATGAGTCTGTGCAAACATGCCTTACTAAAAATAACCTGTATCTTCCGTTATTTGCCCCATATATTTGCTCATCACTCCCCCATGATTTATCATCCCTGGAAGCCCAAAGCCTCTTTCCTTTCTTAAAAGGGAATATAAATCCTGTATCTAATCACTTCTTGGAGTTTCCTTGTTTTTCTCTGAACGCCTGTGTATGTGAATATTAATTAAAATTATATGCCTTTCCCCTATTAATCTGTCTTTTGTTGGTTTAAATCAAAGGTCTCTACTTACTGAACCTAAATGGGTAGAGGAGAAGTTTTTCTTTCTTGACAAGCTCAATTAAAAAAAAAAATTAAAAATAAATCCCTCCCTGAGAAATGTTTATGTAATATTAGTAATTGTGGGTAAAGGAAAAAAGACCACAAAACAGCATGCTCAGTTTGATCCTACAGTGGACATCTGTGGTTTGAATTTGCCTAAACCCTCTTTTCCCTCTGAGAGTCTGCCCCTCCCTTATTCTGGGTGGTCTGCATGTAACTGTCAAGCATAAAGCGTAATATCCCTGTCTGGTCAAAGGAGCAGATACATGACTCTGACTGACTGAGCTGATAATAGTAACCCCCTGTCCTTGGGAACATACCTAGAGAAGGCATGTGATTCAAGCAGGGCCAAGCAGAGCTCACCTCCACACTTACAGACAATGGGAAAGAGAGGTCTCTTCTCTCTTCTTGGTACCATTTCCAACCATTTGATTTTTAAATGGAAGCACAAAACCCCAGTTTCCACCACCATTCATGTCACAATGCTGAGGGAAGCCAGCCTGAGCTAAGCTAAGAATCACTGTGCCTGCCATAGTTTATGCCCAACCTCAACCTGGACCCCTACCACACTCTGGTCTTACAAAGTTGTACTCCTACCAAGAGTAGATGAGAGTTCTAGTGGCTCCACACCCTCACCAACAGTTCTAGTGGCTCCACACCCTCACCAACAGTTGTCAATTCCATGAGCATAAAACAGGATCTTGTGTTTTAAATTTGCATTTCCCTGATTACCATGAGGATGAGAATTTTCTCATGTTTATCAGTATGTAGGTTTCCTCATCTGTGAATTCTTTTTTTTTTTAAGTTAATAGTCCTTTTATTGGGGAAAAAAAAGACTAGCATTTACAATTTGGAATGGATGTAAATTGAAATTTTTTAAATAGCAGTGTTGATGGTCATGCTGAAGTCCACAGCTCCAAGTCATGGTTCAGAAGGTTTTAAAAACAGAGTCGGAAGATGCTCCATTGGTAACGTCCACTTTGTTGATCATATCCTGCAAATCGGCTTTTGTTGGGTTCTGACCCAGTGACCTCATGACAGGTCCAACTTCCTCTGTTGTGATGGGTCATGGTCATCTTTGTCAAATAGGAAGAAAGCTTCTTGACATCATCATCTGTTCTTGGGTTAGCTCATCAGCCACTGCACTGGGGCGGCCAAGTCTCCAGCTGGCCTCCTTCCATTCCCATCTGTGAATTCTTTATTCATGGCTTTTGCTCATTTTGTTGTTGTTGTTGCATTATTTGTTTTTTTCTCATTAATTTCTGAGATTTGTTTTTCAATGTATTCTGTGTACTGATTCTTTGTAAGCTAAATATATTGAACTGATCTTATCCCACATATGACTCATTTTATTTTTTTACTTTTAAAATACATCTTTTTGTTGAACAGAATTTTAAAGCTTTAATTTAATTAAATGTATCAATTTTTTCCCTCATGGTTTATGATTTTTATATCTCAAGTAAGAAATTCTTCTCTATTTTGTTCAAAATTTTAAAAATTTTGCTTTTTACATTTAGGTTTTTAGCTCACCTGGAATTCACTTTTTGTTTTTTTTGTTGTTGTTGTTGTTTTTTAAAGATTTTATTTATTTATTTGAAAGAGAGAAAATGAGAGATAGAGAGCACGAGAGGGAAGAGGGTCAGAGGGAGAAGCAGACTCCCTGCTGAGCAGGGAGCCCGATGCGGGACTCGATCCCGGGACGCCAGGATCATGACCTGAGCCGAAGGCAGTCACTTAACCAACTGAGCCACCCAGGCGCCCTGGAATTCACTTTTTGTATATGCTATGAGGTAGGGCCTTATCTAGTTTTGGTTTTTTTAAATTTCCATATGGCTAATCAGTTGTCTTAGTAGGATTTATTAAAGAGATTATTTACTAAAAATCGATATCCTATTAAAGAAATCTTCCTCATACTGATTTGTAATGCCACCTCTATCATTAACATGTAGATTCTTTTAATTTTTTTAAGATAGTTTGAATTAATGTTTTTATTTTTATTACTATTTTTTTAATGTTTTTATTTAAGTAATCTCTACACCCAATGTGGGGCTGGAACTCACAACCCCGAGATCAGGACTTGCATGCTCTGACTGAGCCAGCCAGGTGCCCCTGAATTAGTACATGTTTTTAGTTAATCCTAATCTATACAGAATTTGGCATGGAGTGTGGCAGGCAACAAATCCTATATATGGAATTAGTTGGGGTTGGAGGTAGGCTGAGTGTGCCACTGTTCTGGGCCAGGAAGTTGGCCATTCTTGGCACATGGTAGCAGAACTGTTGGTTAAACTGAGGTTTGTTGTCTACTGGGACTGCAGCATTTGTGACATTAGTAGGAAAAACTCAAGCTGTTAGATACATCTTTAGCCTTTGGAAAAGAGCTACAGTAAAGACAGATTTAGCTGAAGGAGGGCCATCTGAAAGAAAAGGGGGGAAGAAATCATATAGCTTTCCTTACAGATGTCCTTTCTGTTTCCAGAAGGAAATCCAAAATTGTTGTATATATATTTGGTTGTCTGAAGCCTGCCAGAATTTGAAAACCAAATTATCTGACAAACTAAGGATAGTTATCTGTAAAGGAAGGAAACTAGAGGATTTATCAGAAAATACAAATGGATTCCAGGAGCCTGCTATGTTCGTGCCCCCATCTCCCTTCTTCCAAGCATCTGTTAAAAGACTCACAGCTTAGATCAAGGACAATTGCACTGCCTTTGAAAAATCAGTTGGAGGGCGCCTGGGTGG